GGATCAATATTTTTCTGTTCTTGACATGATTTCACTATATTATACGTCATGATCATAGTTATCTGACGTCAGTACCAACAATTTCAAAATCAAATGATATTTCATGACGATTAGACCTCAGGAACAGAACAGGAACCAGTCCTGTCTGACAAAAGATGTAAAATGTCATCTAATATGTCTGACTAGCGCTTTAGACTGTTGATTTGATTTGACTGTATTTACCAATCGTATCTGACCAGAACTTTAGACTGTTGATTTGATTGTATTTACCAGTCATATCAGACTAGAGCTGTAGATTTGATTGTAGTTACCAGTCATGTCTGACTAGAGCTCTAGACTGTTGATTTGATTGTATTTACCAATCATGTCTGACTAGAGCTCTAGACTGTTGATTTGAATGTAGTTACCAGTCATGTCTGACTAGAGCTCTAGACTGTTGATTTGGTTGTATTTACCAGTCATGTCTGACTAGAGCTCTAGAATGTATTTCATCCCTTATAAAGAATCAATGTAGCCATAATATTTATTTTGATATATTTATAGTAAATTATCTAGTTTCAATCTGTAAGTTGAATAGGTTTTTTATGGACTCCATCAAAAACATTTTACTGTTTATAAGAGATCTATTGATATCCCTGGTACTAAAAATATAATTTCTATTTTTACATCTTTGATAGAAAGAAAATTGAAATTACAGCATAAACATCGTTAAATCTAAACTTACACTAAAAACATAACATTCATAATGTGCAGAATCCATCAAAGTTTTAAAACAGAAATAATTTTCAACACAAAACATCGAACTTATGTACTAGTCTATAAAACTCAAAGTAACAATATAAAAAATGGAGAATACATTTCAAGACATTAAATATTTCTATAAATTTATCACATCTCAACAAACATGAAACTTCGTTTGCAAAATTAAAAAAAAGCAGTTTTGACCAAAAGTCAGATCCAGTTGGTCTGCTGAAAATCCAGTTAATTTGGGCGTTAGAAATACCATCACCAGAAATTTGAAGCCAGGGATCAAGTTATTTCATCAACATTTTTTGAGAAGTTGTTTTGAGCACATTTGTAAATGACCTTTTGTAATGGGATCAGTTCCCAAACTGTAATAAAGGTTTATGACTAAGTCAAAATACAGCATTTTGTTGATATTTTTGGGGTATGATTTGTACTGAACAGACAGTAGCTGCGATGGGGCTAGTTTCCAAACTGAAATTAGGTTAAAAACAAAGTTAAAAAAAACAACCACTTACGAATGAGTTCTTCTGAAATTTTTGTCCTCCAGCTCATTTAGCCTCAATTTATGGAGTCGTGCAATCAGCGAAAACGCCATTTTGATTTCTGATTTCTGAATCTGGTCTAATTATCTATATTTTCCCTTTTAGTTCTATTTATAAACAATTTAAAATTCTAATCAACTTAAGATTCACAAAGTAAGAGTTGAATTTCAATTTCCACTGTTCTAATATCCAACTTTTTCAAACATATTTAAATTTGATTAACAGAAATCACAATCAATAATTCAAATTGTTTGTCCAAAACATTAATCATTTTCAATGTCCAGTATACAAAACATAAGAAATAACATTAAAGTTAATTCAATGTCACTTAATATCCATACAATTCCACCCTCTGTTTCCAATCTTTTCATTCACAAAAAATTGAAATGTTTTCAAAATTAAACAAAATTCACAAAGATTGGGCAACCAATAAATATTCTGTGATTATTTTCACCTGAATACTTTATGTTTTTTTTTTTTCGTGATTAGAAACTTTCGATCAAAATTTCACAATTTGTGAAGATAGTCCAGAAAAATTCCAAATCCTTTATTTGAGAACACAAATAGGGAAAACAAGAAGTAAAATCACAAACATATACACCCAATATCCTACTGATCAATACTCAATAATCAATATCTGAATAAAGTAGGTCAGGTTTTTTTGGGATTATGTCTTATTCTTTCTGTTATAATTCACTTAGGCCAAAACAACAAAATGCTTTTCCTTACAATATTTATAGACTAACAAAATGTTTTATATCCTACTGTTCTGTATCTTATAGAGCTAATGAAATGAAATAGAGTTTTATATCCTACTGTTCTGTATCTTATTGGACTAATGAAATGAAATAGAGTTTTATATCCTAATGTTCTGTATCTTATTGGACTAATGAAATGAAATAGAGTTTTATATCCTACTGTTCTATATCTTATTGGACTAATGAAATGAAAAAGAGTTTTATATCTTACTGTTCTGTATCTTATTGAACTAATGAAATGAAATAGAGTTTTATATCCTACTGTTCTGTATCTTATTGGACTAATGAAATGAAATAGAGTTTTATATCCTACTGTTCTATATCTTATTGGACTAATGAAATGAAATAGAGTTTTATATCCTACTGTTCTATATCTTATTGGACTAATGAAATGAAATAGAGTTTTATATCCTACTGTTCTGTATCTTATTGAACTAATGAAATGAAATAGAGTTTTATATCCTACTGTTCTGTATCTTATTGGACTAATGAAATGAAATAGAGTTTTATATCCTATTGTTCTGTATCTTATTGGACTAATGAAATGAAATAGAGTTTTATATCCTACTGTTCTATATCTTATTGGACTAATGAAATGAAATAGAGTTTTATATCTTACTGTTCTGTATCTTATTGAACTAATGAAATGAAATAGAGTTTTATATCCTACTGTTCTGTATCTTATTGGACTAATGAAATGAAATAGAGTTTTATATCCTACTGTTCTGTATCTTATTGAACTAATGAAATGAAATA